CTGACAAAACTTTTTAGTATATTTTATATATTTTTATTTGGTTCGGGTCTATTCGAGAGTTTTGTTCCATGAACTCGAAACTGAATAGAGTCCGTTCGGGTTGAAAAAAATGAACCAAAACCAATCCGAAAAGCTAAACCAACCCAACCCTTATAGTTCGGTTTGGATTTGTCCGAATTGTCGGGTTGTTGGGTTGAATGTACACCTCTAGCTACGGAGACCGATCCTTTACCTATGGTGACTTGGCAACTGAGAAAATTACTATTAGATACTTCAAACTCAACAAGACAGTTATTGGATGTGGCCATGTGAATGGCGGCAGTTTCGACGGAGATACCTCAGAAATTATCGAACTCGGCAGCAGTGCTCTCTCTTTGGTACCTCAAATGAGCAAAATCGCCGCTGCCAAACGGCGGTTCTCATATTGCTTGTCGATCTTCTTCTTACATGCAAAATAAGCTTCAGCAAATAGGCCGTTGTTTCAGGGCGAAAAGTCGTTTCTATACCCATCTCGTGTTAAAAGAACTCAATACCTTCTATTATCTAACTCTCGAAGTAATGTCCGTTGCAAACAAGCGGTTCAAGGCCGCGAACGACATGTCGGCCGCCGCAGAACAAGGGAATATCCTTATCGATTTCGGTACGACATTGACAATTTTGCCCCCGAATTTCTACAAAGGTGTCGCTTCAACGTTGGCGCGTGTTGTTAAAGCGAAGCGCGTGGATGATCCCATAATGGTTGGAAGATGGTTTGTCTGAACCAATTGACTGATTTAGTTCGACCTATCCAACCCGACTCGAGTGGATTAGACTAATTCGGTCCAGTTGAATCATTCTGGTCCCAATTCGACCTATTCCTTTTTTTTTTTTTTTGGTCGATTTCAGTGGTACTAATATTGAATAAGATTTTAGGACTCATTTAAAATTTTAGATTGCTAAAGGTGAATTCGATGGAACGGATTGAATTTGATATATTTTAGTTTATTGGAGTATTTTGTATGATTGAATAATATGTATGGTGTAGTCATTGAGTGAGGACTCTCTGGGGTTCGCCAACTAATCTCTAACAATAGATTTGTCTCGACCAGCATGGGTCAACATAGTATGGTCCAGACATGACATAACATATTATATAACCTGTATTAAACTGGCAAAGGATAGCAACTTTTAATAATGAATTAAATTTACAAGTTCCTTTAATTGTAAATAAATTATTTTTAAAAAATTAATTTTTTAATTATTGTTTTCAATTATAGAAATTTGTGAAAACAAACCTCAAATTTCCAAAATAAAAAAATAAAAATCAATTTATTCGAAACAAAGAAAATCAAGCAAATTTAATACATTTCTGTATGTGATTGTGAATTGATTCGTTTCTATATATGACACATCCAAAGTCAAACATATAATATCTTAATGCTTAAATTAATAAATATTTATCAAAACGCATATAACGTATTTATAATTAAATTATTTTAATTTGTTATTTTATAACCGTTTGGTTTAATGCGTATGAAACTCCCATGCAATCTCTCTCTCTCTCCAAATCCCTTTACGTATAAATAAGGGAGGAAATGGTTACTCAAATCCTCATCTCTATATCCATGCCTGCCATATCTATCTTCTTCTCTCTCCTCCTCATCTCCGTTGCCTTCACCACCGTCTATGGCGGCGGCATTGGCTTCTCCACCACTCTCATCCACCGCGATTCTCCACTTTCACCTATCCGGAACCAATCTCTCTCTCACTACGACCGCCTAAATAACGCCATCCGCCGTTCTATCTCCCGTGCCGACGCCCTCTTCCAACGCGCCGCCGCTCTCACCGACAACTCCATCGAAGCTCCGATCTCCCCCGGCGGCGGTGAGTATGTAATGTCTGTGTCCATTGGAACCCCCCCGGTGCCTTACGTGGCCATAGCTGATACGGGCAGCGATCCAGCGTGGATTCAATGCATGCCATGTAAGCAATGTTACCCCCAATCAGAACCCATTTTTGACCCCAAAAAATCCTCCTCCTTCCGTCACGTGCCTTGCACGTCCGATACATGTAAGTCAGTCAACGACGACGGGTTCTGTGGGGACCAAGGGTCTTGCGATTACAGTTTCGCGTACGCAGATCATACCTACTCGAAGGGAGAGTTTGGAACTGATACAATCACCATCGGGTCAACGTCTGTCAACATGCTGTTTGGATGTGGCCACGAGAGCGGCGGCGGGTTCGGCACTACCTCTGGTATCATCGGACTCGGCGGCGGCGATCTGTCTATAGTTACTCAAATGAGAAAAAAAAGCGCCGTGAGCTGGAAATTCTCCTATTGCTTACCGTCCGTATCGAGTCAAGGGAGGGGCAAAATCAGCTTCGGCGAAAACGCCGTCGTTTCAGGTCCGGGTGTCGTTTCAACCCCACTGGACCCCAGCATGATGTATGAGATAAGTCTGGAAGCCATTTCCGTTGGTAACGAACGTCACGCGGCCGACATTTCTCTTGCAACAGACAACATGATCATTGACTCCGGGACCACATTGAGTTACATTCCCAAGGTGATACACGACGGCATCGTTTCGTCGTTGGCGAAGATCATTGGATCGAAGCGGGTGAACGATCCCCGTAACGTTTTTTCTCTGTGCTATTCTTCAGATGGCGACGACGTGAATATTCCGACCGTTACCGCCCATTTCGCCGGCGGCGCTGACGTTGGTTTGTCGAATGAGAATATGTTTATGACGGTGGCGGATGGTGTGAGTTGCTTGATGTTCAAGTCATTGATGGAGATCAACGACGTTGGGATTTGGGGGAATATAGCTCAGGCGAATTTCTTGATCGGATATGATTTGGAGAAGAAGAGCTTGTCGTTCAAACCAACCGTGTGTGCTTAGAACCTCAAACTCTCCAACTACGTTGATTTTTCTTTTTGTGAATCACAGTTTTCTTTTTTTCGTGTAAAACAAATTATTTATTTTTAATTGAATTATAATTAATTCAAATCGTCTAGAGTACTACTTGTTGTTACATGATCACGACTCTCCACAATGTTATGATATTGTCCACTTTAACCATGAACTCTCGTGGCTTTGCTCTGGGTTTCACCAAAAGGCCTTATCAATAAACAGTGTATTATTTGATTATAAATCCATGATCATCCCTAAATTAACGGATGTGGGACACTTTCGTCTAACACTTGTGAATAAGGCTTTGTTTTTCTTTCCAACGTGGGATCTCACAATACATCCCTTTGAGGCCTAGCATAGTTGCTGACACTCGTTCTTCTATCTAGATGTGGGAGCTCATAAATAATCAAAATAATTTCCCTCTAAAAATTTATCAAAATATTATTTTATTATATTTTAGACTATCATTTTTTAATAAATCTTAAAATTAGTGGTGTATTATTTATTTGAAATTATTTTTTTTTTTGTCAAATTTAGTTTCATGTTTTAAAAAATTATCAAGTAGTTTTTTTTCCGTTCAAAAAAGGAAAATAAAAAATTATATATATATATATATATGGACAATGAAAAAGAGTCATATTTTGCCTCTAAAAAAACATATAATAATAATAATTATTGTTAATAATATTATTATTATTATTTATGGACAATGTAAAAGAGACATATTTTCTATAGTTTAAGGAAACCTGAGAAAATCCACGTCATATAATCTCACGCAAAGTCTCTCCCTCGGTAAAAAAACGTAATACATATTTATATTCTCTCTCTAAATTACCATAAATAAAATAAGAAAATCATTGCCTTCGCCGTTACCGGCATCGACCTGACGTGGACCCAGTGCATGCCATGTCACAAATGCTTCAACCAATCACTTCCCGTTTTTAATCCACGTCGATCCTCTTCCTACCGCCACGTGTCTTGCCCTTCCAATGCTTGCCGCTCTCTCGACGACTATCGCTGTGGGCGCCAAAACTGAACCTGCAGCTACGGTTATAGCTATGAATAAGTGTGTACGTGATTCGAGTTGGATTGGGTTGAGGAATTTTTTTTAACCCAAACCTAAAGTTCGGGTTAGTTTGATTGGTAACCCTGCCCAACTCAAAAAATTTCTCATTTCAACCTTCTATTTTCGAGTTGGGTTCGAGTCGTTAAAAAAAATTCTTTTTTTAATAAAAGATAATTCTTCACGAAGAACACATGTAACATATTAATAGAGTTCAACATTGTCATAAAATAAGACACAACTAAAATATCGATATTTATTAAAAATTAGTTAAAGTTAAAAAAAAAAATATAGAGAGATTATAAAATTAAAAAAGTAATAAAAATTATTAATTTAAAATATTATATATAACAAAAATTATAATATAATACTATAACGTGATGGAGTTAGAAAGTCGTAGATTAAAATATAAATATATATGTATATATAAATTATGATATAACAATAAATATATTAGAATTTATAATTATTTATTTTAACTTTATAACAAAATCCTTAAATCAATTTAAACTATTTTTTTTTCACTATTTTAGGCGTTAATCAGTAAAATAAATAAAAAGTTAATTAGTAAAATAATAAAAAATTCTCTCGTACTCCATATTGATTTAGAGAGTAAATTTATTTATTTTTCACAAGTTCTGGATAATAGAGTATAGTGAAAAAAATAATAGATAAAAAGTAAAGATTAATCAAATATATGTATAATCTATTAACATTGAACACTATAGACATTTGTTTCAAAATAACCTAAATATAGGTATAATTAATAATTAATAAACGAATCATAAATTATAAACTCGGGTGCGAGTATTTTAAGTTAGGACAAAGTACTACTCTTGACAAATTCATCGTTAATATAAGCTTCTTAGTATATTTTATATATTTTTATTTGGTTCGAATCATCTTGAAGGTTTTGTCCCATGAACCTGAAACCGAACCGAGTCAGTTCGGGTTCAGAAAAATAAACCAAAACCAACTCGAAAAGCTAATCCAACTCAACCCAACCTTTATAGTTTGAGTTGGGTTGGTCCGGGTTATCGGGTTGAATGTACACCCTTAGCTACGAAGACCGGTCCTTTACATATGGTGACCTGGCAACTGAGAAAATTACTATTGGATCCTTCAAACTCAACAAGACAGTTATTGGATGTGGCCACATGAACAGCGGCAGTTTCAGCGGAGCTACCTCAGGAATTATCGAACTCGACAGCGACGCTCTCTCTTTGCTCTCTCAAATGAGCAAAATCTTTGCCGTTAAACGACAGTTCTCGTATTGCTTGCCGACCTTCTTCAGTGTCTAAAATGTAACAGGCAAAGTAAGCTTCGACAAAAAGGCCATTGTTTCAGGGCGAAAAGTCATTTCTACCTCTCTCATGTTAAAAGAACCCGATACCTTCATTACCTAACTCTTGAAGCAATGTCCGTTGCAAACAAGCGGTTTAAGGCCGCGAACGACATGTCGGTCGCCGCAGAACAAGGAAATATCCTTATGAATTTCGGTACAACATTGACAATTCTGCCCTCGAATTTGTACAAACGTGTCGCTTTGACATTGGCGCGTGTTGTTAAAGTGAAGCGAGTGCATGATTCGACTGGGGTTTTGGATCTCTGCTTCGTTGCGCGCAGCGTTGATCATTTGAATATCTCGGTCATTACGACACATTTTTCCGGCGACAACGACGTAAAATTGTTATCGTTGAATATATTTGCAATGGTGGCAAAATAATGTGGCTTGTTTGGCTTTGGCGCTTCCGCGAATTTTGCCATTTTTGAAAACTTGGCTCAGGTGAACTTTTTGGTCGGATACGATATCAAGCGTAAGAGATTGTCGTTTAAATACAACGTTTGTGCTTAAAGACAACAAGTCGTTTCTCTATTATTTGTGTTTTGATTACAGTTATTTCTCTTCACAAATCTTATGGTTAGACATAACAAAATTTGAATTAAAAGATGATATATGAAGCGTACATAATTTATTGAAATTTATAAAATTATTAAAAGTTGAAAAGTATTATTTTTTTTTTATTTTTGACAAATTACCAAATTTATAAATATTTTATTAATTTTTTCTATCTTAATTAATTAAATTAAGCTCAAATTGGAAAGTCTTTTATTTTATATTTTCAAAAGTCAAATAATGTGTAGAAATGGTAACTTTCTTTATTTTTACCTTCTTCGGGCAAATTTACTTTATTTCTATATAGGGTTCTAAATTTCAAAATTCCATACCTTTTATATTCAAATGAAATAGCCAAATAATTAACTAAAATTAAAAAACAAGTACTCATTTATAAAACTTTATTCTTAATTTATATTATATGGTTTAATAATAATGATTATTGTAACAATTATTATCAAATGAAAAATAATCTTTCATATAAGAATTATTTATGAAAATTTTATCAAAACGCATATAACGTATTTAAAATTAAATTATTTTATAACCGTTTGGTTTAATGCATATGAAACTCCCATGCAAACTCTCTCTCTCCAAATCCCTTTACGTATAAATAAGGGAGGCCATGGTTACTCAAATCCCCATCTCTATATCCATGGCTGCCATTTCAATCTTCTTCTCTCTCCTCCTCATCTCCGCTGCCTTCACCACCGTCTATGGCGGCGGCATTGGCTTCTCCACCTCTCTCATCCACCGCGATTCTCCACTTTCACCTATCCGCAACCAATCTCTCTCTCACTACGACCGCCTAAATAACGCCATCCGCCGTTCTATCTCCCGTGCCGACGCTCTCTTCCAACGCGCCGCCACTCTCACCGGCAACAGCATCGAATCTTCGATCTCCCCCGGCGGCGGTGAGTATGTAATGTCTGTGTCCCTTGGGACCCCCCCGGTGCCTTACGTGGCCATAGCTGATACTGGCAGCGATCCAGCGTGGACTCAATGCAAGCCATGTAAGCAATGTTACCCCCAATCAGAACCCGTTTTTGACCCAAAAAAATCCTCATCCTTCAGTCCCGTGCCTTGCACGTCCGATAGCTGTACGTCAGTCAGCGACACCACATGTGGGGACCAGCAGTCTTGCGATTACAGTTTCGTGTACGGAGATCAAACCTACTCGAAGGGAGAGTTGGCAACTGATACGATCACCATTGGGTCAACGTCTGTCAACATGGTGATTGGATGTGGCCACGAGAGCGGCGGCGGGTTCGGCACTACCTCCGGTGTCATCGGACTCGCCGGCGGCGATATGTCTATAGTTACTCAAATGAGCAAAAAAAGCTCCGTGAGCCGGAAATTCTCCTATTGCTTACCGTCCGTATCGAGTCAAGGAAGTGGGAAAATCAACTTTGGCGAAGACGCCGTCGTTTCCGGCTCTGGTGTCGTTTCAACTCCACTGGGCCCCAGCACAATGTATCAGATAACTCTGGAAGCCATTTCCGTTGGTAACGAACGTCACGCGGTCGGAAAGGCTGTCGCAGAAAACAACATGATTATAGACTCCGGGACCACATTGACATACATTCCCAAGGATATGCACGACGGCGTCGTTTCGTCGATGGCGAAGATCATTGGATCGAAGCGGGTGAACGATCCCGGTAACTTTTTTGCTCTGTGCTATTCTCCAGATAGCGACGACGTGAATATTCCGTCCGTTACTGCCCATTTCGCCGGCGGCGCTAACGTGGAGTTGCCGAAGGAGAATATGTTTATCACGGTGGCGGATGGTGTGAGTTGCTTGATGTTCACGGCGATGACGGAGAGCGACCCGTTTGGGATTTGGGGGAATATAGCTCAGGCGAATTTCCTGATCGGATATGATTTGGAGCAGAAGAGCTTGTCGTTCAAACCAACCGCTTGTGCTTAGAACATGAAACCCTCCAACTACGTTGTTTTTCTTTTCTTGAACCGCACTTTTGTCTTTTTCGTCTAAAACAAATTATGGATGTTTTTTTTTATATTTATAAAAATTAATCACATATTTTGCTAAATATACCAAAATAATGGTTTTGCTTTATTTATTTTTAATTCAGTTATACTTGGGAGTGAGAATTTGAACGTTCAATCTCGACCCGAATGATACATATCTTTTGTGTTAGTTATGTTCAATTTATAATGCCTCATGCCCAAGATTTGGATCTAGAATTCGACAGCTCATGCACGGAGTGAATTTGTCATGTAGTGTAAAGCACTACTTGTAATGGCCCAAATCCACCGCTGGTAGATATTGTCCTCTTTGGGCTCTCCTTTGTGGACCTCCCTCCAGATTTTTATAAAACGTGTATGCTAAGAAGAATGGTTTGTTCTCCTCTCTAACTGATGTTGTATCTCACGATCCATCCCCTTTGAAGCCTAGCGTTCTTGCTGGCACTCGTTCCTCTCTCTAATTAATATGAAGTAAATTATCTTGTATGTGTAAAGAGTGATTATGTCATATGGGTTCTTATCACATGTAGAGCACAGTCCTAATAGATTGTATCATATAGATACAGGGAATGATCTCATCATGTGACCTCATATGGTTAGGGCACAATCCAACCATTTGTAATTCCTATCAGGTACGACGTTGTCCTAGTAGGTTATATTGTAGATATGCAAGGAGTGAGCCCGTCATAAACATTTAGGGCCCATTCTCGTAGTTTCCATTTCTAGTATATATACAAACACTCAGTGACTGCCCTTGTTTAGAAAAATGTTGGTGGTCTTCTAACCGTCTCCGCACCTAATATCTCGATGAAAGGACACGATCGTACCGAAAAACATTTCTTACCTATAGAGAATAAGAGCGTGAAATTTAATATTTAAAAAAATTCAATTCGAATATGTTATTGATTAATTCAAGTACCACCAGAGGGGTTACGTTAAAAATATATGAACATTTTGAGATGATTAGTAAAAAATAAATGGTAAGTGAAAATTACCTTGCAAACTGTAATTTCCCCAAAAACAAACTACGTATTTACCATATCCATGGTAAAAAAGAAAAAAGAGATGAATAAAGCACAGACAAAAAAATGGGGAATGCCAGGTCAGCGTACGAAAGGGAAACGGATAGGATCACATCAAGATGATGAGATGAGTCGGACGAGGCATTGGCTCGCAGGGAATGTGAAGGCGAAAATGGGACAGTCGGTCACACGCTTGGATGCATCCCATTCGCACGTGCCACTTCCCTCCTCCTCAGTCTCACTCCAGCGCCTCTCTGTCGAATATTCCACATGCTCGCCCTCACTCTCTCACTCTCTCTCTAGAAGCAAGCTGCAAACTCAGCCTTTCGGTGATAGATAGATGCAGCCAAGGCTCTCACGGACCGACGATTTTCTCTCTATCTTGATACTGAGCTGCATTTCTTTCAATTGGATCTAACTTCCTCTTCCAGGTCCGTGCATGTTTTGCTTTTCAGTTTTCATCACTCGGTTTGCGTTTTTCCCCCGCTTTTTCGCCGGTTAAACCTGTAATTGTTGTGTAATCTGTGAGTTGTTTTGTTGTTTGGTGACTTTGAGATGTGTGTGAGATTTTGCCTTTTTGAATCAATTGGCGACTCTGATTGGATTGTGATTGTGATTGTGATTGTGATTGTTGAATGTGACTACACTTTTCGCGGTTTTGGTTCTGAAGTGTTGTGGAATGGAAGTGTGAGATTTTGTGTCGTACTTGGAGGTTTTGGTTTTCGTTCTGTTTGCTTCTTGTTTGAGCAATTTTGAGTGAAAAGTGGTTGTAGTTCTGGTGCTATACTGCATCTATTGAATTCCATGATTCACGGCTTGCGAGGAAGAGTCGTTGCCTACTTCATAACAAAGTACTAATTTGTTGATTTTAACACTGACGCGTTTTGATATGTCCGGATAGCCAGTCTATTAATTTCATTCTATGTTTTCCATGAAGAAATTTTGAGTTTCTAACATCGATGTTGGAACTTAATAGTTGTGTTTATGGGGAACAGCCGCTTGATTTTTCCTATTTCCTTTTACAAATTCCATTATATCGTTGTTTCTGGATTCCTCTCCATCTAATTAGTGGAAAGCCGTCTATGTGAGTACTTCATCGGAAGTTTGGTGATGGCCTCTCAATTTTGCCACTATAGTGTTTCCCTGATGGAATGGGAGGTTTCGTGGCCCATCCATTGTTAGGCATTTGCTAATGAGCCATGTCGTGAATTGACATACATCAATATGTGAAAGTAGAGATGTTATCCTCTAGTTACTAATGTAGCTTTTCTATTATTGTTAAGTTGATCTAACCAGATTAAGAATAATTCCTTCTAGTCACTGATATTTATTCATTACATACATAGGGATATCGTTTCCATTATTGTTAAATTGATTTGTACTTTGTTCAAAACAACGTTTTTCCTTCTTCCTCTCTTTTTAGTCTATTTTTTCTTTTTTCTTTTTCTTTTTAATAGCCTTCTGTCTATATATTTTTGTGTTTGTAACAGCTCATTTTTAACCAGAGTGCCATATGTCCGAGGAAACTATTGCCAAGCTTGTTCTGTCAGATGATTTATCGTAGACACTTCACCCCTGACCAGAGCCACCATGGGCGTCTGTCTGGTCAAATTTTCTGGCTTGTTGGTTCTTCACGTTCTACTTCTTTGTCTGGCAATCAATAAAAGCACTGGCCTCACCTCTGATGGTAATTTTTGTACTTCTGCTTTTTATGTTATTTCTTGTCTTCATATTAACTCAACCTTTGTACATAAGTTTTAAGGATAAACTATGCTCCACCCTACACGTATATGGTCTTTGTCTCGTGTTGGGGATATAGTT